ACTACGGAAGTAGGAATGCCCAACCTTCCTTCCGAGGAGTGCCTGGTGGGTTTGAACCGCCAGCCATCTGGTTAGCAGTCAACTGCCTTAGGCACTATGCTACCAGAGCTCCTTGTTTAGGGAAGATTAATGGTCAGCTTATTATCAGAGCGGAAACACACAATTCGGAGCGATGGTCCTCAGTTCTAGGAATTTCTGTTGGCAGGATGTGGGCCCCTAACTCGGAATTACAGAGCTCTCAGGAAGGGAAAGGGGCAGTGAGTGGGTTTCTCAGGGATGTTTGGTTTAGAAAAGGAAGAGGGGAGTGGGTTTCTCGCAAAAGTACAAAATAGAATCATCTCCTTCAGTGGTGGGTGGCAGGGATGGTCCGGGGGAGCCCAGGACGTCAGGGCGTGCCCCCCTCTACTGCCCCCCGGCCCTTCTTCATGTTCTGTCAGGAAGGACAGAAGGCCCTGCACTGAGCCCTCCCCCAGAGGAGCAGGGCAGCAATGCCCCAGCCCTCAGTGGCCTCCTGGCCTCACAGAGCTCTGTCTTCCTGCCCATGAAGAGCTGGGGAATCAGAGCACAGTGCTGAACCTGTGGTTAGCAGTTCCTTTGTGAATCAGATGAGAAATAAGAAATAATGGCTCTGCCATTCAATTCTATTTCAGAAAAACACACCTCATTTGAGGGTGGGGACCCCAAGCCCCTGTCCTTTCCCCAATCCCCTTGAGTCCCCTCAGCTCCGGAAAACCCACAACTTCAGCTATTCCTCCTTTTCTCCCTACAGGGTCTTGTCAAGACAACCAGGGACCTCCTTGCTGCACCCAGCCACTGCTCAGCTCTCCAGTCTCATCTGCCTGGGGCCTCAGACATGGAGGTCAACCCTATTACCTGCTGCCCTTCCTTCTTGTGGGACCAGTTCTCTGGTTCTCTAACTCCTTAGAGTCCCTGTCTCAGTCCCCCTCGCTGGTCCTCCCCTCTGGCCACCTCCATGCTGGCAGTGCTTCTGGGCCCACTGAGACCCTGGACTCGGGGGAAGTGGGTGAATGTAGGACACGCACCCGCTTCTGCAGAGTTCACAAGAAGACAGGAATGGATGCAAGTGTTCATCAGTGATGGTGTTTGTTGATTACATGTTGAGATGATCGTGTTTGGGGTATTGGGCTGAACAAAAGAGATCATTAAAATTCCTTTTGCTTTCTTAAGGTTGGTACAGGAGTATTTACCGACGTTCGTGGTTGCCTCCCACTTCCGTGCCAGCTTGCTGCACACGCCGCCAGAGAACAAGCCCCGGCCAGTCCCAGTTCCCCACTCCCTCCACGTTCACACTCAGGGAGTGCCGCTCCACTTGGGGCCTGTGTCACTGAACATGGGCCCCATCCTGCCCCTTCAGAACCTCCTTCACCTCAAGTGAGACCCTCATCCCTCTCGGGCACCCAACACCCACCCACAGGCACCTCGCACCCCCTCAAGCTGGTTCAGATAGCGTCCCCACCATCTTCACCCACCCTCAGGTAGACACTTCGACCTATTGCTTCATAGCTGCCAGAGGGGCTGTGTCAAGCTAAATCCCATTTTGCCACTTCCTGCTCAAATTTCACAGAGGCTTCCATTTACAGAAACCAACCCAAGCCCCACCAGTCCCACCCCATCCTCCGACCTTGGGCACTCATTTCTTAATGAGCCATCCCCTTGTCCCTCCCGATGTCCACTGTCGGCCCCTCACCTCAGGTCACTTCCTCAGAAAGGCCCGGGAACACCTGCCCCAAACAGACCCCAACACTATTCCTGCTGTTCATGTCTTCATATCCCACTGACATGCTATGATTTTTCTGTGTCCTGTCCCTCTTCTCCTGGAGGGGACACTCCCTCAAGTCAGGGGACTTGCTGCCCTGTCCAGGACTAGCACCTGTGTGGTGGGTGAAGCAGGTTCTCTTTCTCCTAATTAGTCTCCTCCCAGGGGAGACTGGCAGGGACCTGGGATCAAATCCTGCCACTCCTACACACTGGAAGTCACCTGAGTGCATCCCTTCCTCCCTTGGGTCAAGAAGCCCCCTGGACAAAGGGGGTAGATGGGAGGGTAATCATGGGTCAGCATCCAACCAACACCCTGGAAAGACCTACCATATGCAGGCTCCAAGCTGAGATACTAGCCCACAAATGAGATGGTGCTAGATGGAACATTCACTCAGCCAGTCAACAAACCTGTGTGGGTGGAGTGGGTGGAGCAGGCACAGATATATCAGCTTCCACCCAGCTGACCGCCCAGCCCAGACAGGTACGAAGGACTCCTTCATGGGAGAGCAATCAGGAGGACCTCATCCTAAAGGGATGATGGAGTTTCAGGAAACCCCCAAGTGCCACCCCCCCCCCAGCTTTGTGATGGTGGGTTTGAGAGGATGGAGAGGGCTGAGAGACATTTAGGAGGCCCAAAGGAAGGGGCTAGGTGACCAGGCAGAGGGAAGGCCCCGGTGACACCAGGAAATGCCCTATGGGGGGTGGCAAGAAGAGGGTATGGGAGGATGAACAGGCTTAGGAGGAGGGAGGGGACTGTGATGGCCAGGAGCAGGGTCAGGAGCCCCCAGGAGGAAGCTGGGAGCCAATGGTGGGTGCAGATAACCAGCCACAAGTCAGGTGGTTCCAAGTTCATGAAAGGAAACTTGCAGTGGTCGGGCTGGGGAGGAGCTGTCTGTTCTGGGAAAGTTCTGTTAGCAACGTCTACTTTGGGGGAGAGACTCCAGGGTGCTAGCAGCTCTTTTTCTAATCAGCATTCCTCGTTCTATCCTCCCCATCACCAAACTCTTGAAATCCTAATCAGCCTTGAATTTGTCCCTCAGTCTCTGTGTCCTGTCCAGTCCACCATCTCCAGCCTACTCCCAGCCCCTGGCTCAGCCTGGCTCCTTGCTAAAAGGGGCAAAGAAGCCACATCTCCTGACCTCCTCTAACCCCACAAGAGGAATACAGAATCATTATCAGTAACCCAAGGTCTATTCCTGTGAGGCCAGACATGCTGCCTCCCTCCAGCCCTTTCACCAACCGTTCCACCCAAAGCACCCATCACCTCTCTCCTGGGTTCGATAATTCACTGCAGTGGCCACACAGAACTCACAGATTACGGGGCTTATTAGGGAAGTACAGGCTACAATTCAAGTTCAGGAAAAATGCTCTGTCTTTCTCCCAGCCCACTGTCTCTCAGCCAACAGTTTCTCACAGTCTCTGGCCCAGCAGTGCGTGTCCCTCGGTGTCTCACTCAGCAATGCATGTCTCTTGCGTCTCTTTCCCAGCAACACGTGTCTCTCAGGAGTGCATATCTCTTCCAGCAGCATGTCTTCCTCAACCAGCAGTCAGAGAGAGACTTCTGCCTCTAGGAGGCCTCCTTTTTGAGCCTGGCACAGTGGCCAAAGTAGCCAATCATAACATCAGAATTCCAAGTACCTGAGAGAGAGGGAACTTCCCAGAACATTGCTTTGTGCCACACCCAACAGAAATACCCAGGTGGATAACTTTTACAATCAGGAGCTCCTCAGTTGCTCACAGCAAATTCTACCACAGAGTTTACAAAGACTTATAGCTAGAAAATCCATACCAGGTAATTTACTACACCACACTCCTGCTCCTCCCCATAGTGGTTTACAGGCAACCACAAATTTTCTGAGACTCCCCTTAGGAGCTAGGGCTGATGCCCTTCCCCCTGTATGAACTGACTTAGAGAGTTGCTTCTAATGGAAAGAACAAGGCAGAAGGAACAGTGACATCCATCATTCACCACTTGTGGTCTAGCTGGAGGAAACTTCACCACGAGACCCCCACCCTATGTCTGGTCCCATCTTTGGGCCGGGTTATGGTTGGGATGCAGGGCTGGCCTCATGGTCCTGCATTCAGAAGGACTTGCACTTGGTTAGATACTCAGTTGTT